GTCAATAAAACATCGTGTCTGCCTAGAGAAATGATATAGACAGTTTGAGAACTATCAGACCTCATTTTTGGAAAGGTTTCTTAAGCAATTTACTCTCACTTGTGAAGAGAGATCAAAAGGGAGGGGGGATTCACATTTCCACGTTCATTTCAGTTTTGATACATCCGGAGTTTTGCGTGGAAAATGGCGTACGCAATGTTTTTGTGTGTACGCACCGTTGATCCATGAGGTCCCAGGGCCCCCATGTATTAATGTACACATAAAAAAGTTGTAAACACATGTACACATAAAAAAGTTGTAAACACATGTACACATAAAAACGTTGCGTGCACCATGTTCTACGCCCATGTTGGGATGTATCAAAGCCAACGTTGCGTGAAAGTGTGCGTAAATATACGCATCTGTCCAGCTGAGACACCCATGTACTCTACTATGGAAACATCACCTTCACCTGCTGGCTGATGAGATGGGAGCCGATGCATTTCTGACCATAAATACATTTAAATGCCAGAAAAGTCGTAGCTGAGACTCCAGTGTCCTCACACGGCGGCCATCTTGGGAGGGGAGCGTGCCCACTCTTAACATGAATGTCTGTGGTGTATTTATTATTTAAATAACCATAACTTGGTCAATTTAGATTGGGTTTTCAAACTGATTTTTTGTTGTGTAGGTGAGACGTTATAAAACTGCATACTTATAATGGACATTCATATAATAGTTACGTTATTTTGATAGGTAAAGTAATATCAATATATACACAGAAAACATTTAGATTACTTTTACAAAGAATCAACAAATAAAAATATAAAGCAAAATTATACACAAGTAAAAAATAGTACAAAATAGTTCTAGCAGTGTGTGACAACCTGGTTGCACCAACCAACAAACAGTATTTTTTCTCAGCCTCCACCCTCCATTACTAATTATTAATTCAAAGCACCTGTGTGCACCGCTCTGACTCACCTTAAAGCCCCCTAAATTATTTTGGTGTAAAAATGTTATTTTATTTTAAAAATTCAATATTGGTATTTGGTATTCCTGGCTCTGTTTTAAACTGGTTCACCTCTTATTTATCTGAAAGGTTTTTTACTGTTTTTTTATGAATCAGGTTTACTCTGATGTCGCACCGCTGTCTTGTGGGGTACCCCAAGGTTCAGTTTTGGGTCCAATCCTCTTTTTATTGTACCTGTACCCTTTAGGAGGCATTTTAAAATGTTACAGTAATGTGTCCTACCATCTATATGCTGATGACATAC